CGCCGGCGCCCGCGGACCTTCACCTGCCGCGCGCTCCTGCGGCTGGGCGGGTGCGGGGAGAGAAGGGGCGAGACACAGTGGCCCGGGGGGCACCATCCCCCGATCTCCACTCCGCGCAGAGAAGGAACGCCCGCCGACACCGCGAGACCCCGCAGTCCCCGCGCGCAGCTCCTAAGTTCAAGGGCGACGCCCCTCACCAGCGGAGTCATCCCGCGCGGCGAGCTCGCCGGCCCTATCGCCCCCGACCGGCCCTCTGCGCCCAGCGCCCCTCCGGGTCCCCGGAGCCGCCCGCGCGCCCGGCGGGGCCATGCCCGTGCTGCGCCGGGACCGCCTGCTGACCCTGCTGCTGCTGGGCGCGCTGCTCTCCGCCGACCTCTACTTTCACCTGTGGCTCCAGGTGCAGCGCCAGCTGCGGCCCCGCGAGCGCCCGCCGAGCTGCCCGTGCGCGCGCCGCGCCTCCGCCCGGGCCCCGGGCTCCGCCGCCGCCGCCTCGGACCCCCGCACGGCCGCGCACAACTTCTCCCGAGCCCGGCTGGGGCCAGAGCGGGACGGCGGTGGCCGCCCTGGCCCCGGCTCCTAAGCTGCATGCCTACTTCGCCTGCCCGCTGTACAACGTCCCGGACGAGCCGCCGGGTCTCGGGCCGGAAGACTTGCTCCTGGCCGGCCAGGAGGCGCTGCGCTATTACCGGAGGAAGGTGGCCCGCTGGAACAGGTGAGGACCACCCCCCTGCCCGAACTGCGCGCGCCCCCGGCCCCCGCCCGGGCGGCCTCGCCCAGCCCACGCGCCCTGGACCCGGGCCCCGAGTGTGTTCCCCACTCAGACCCCACCAGCTGTTGCGGACCTCAGAGTTCAGCCTCAAGTTGATCCCAGGGCAAGAAAAAGTTTCTAGGCAGCAGCACAGCCAAGAAATGCCCCCAGCCCCTCCCCCGTGAGCTCCTCTGGCTCACTCCTGAGCCCAACCTCGGTCCCCGGGGCCATTTCCGCCCTCCGGCTTCTAGTGGAAAGTCGCCGTTGGACTTCGGTTTTCCAGAATGAGGTTTCCCAGCAGAGCGCTCCCGGGGCTGGTTGGAATTCAGCGCCCTGCGCTCGGGCGGACCTGGCCGCCTCCCAGACAGCCAGGCTCTCCCTGAAAACCAGCTCTTCCCCTCCCCGCGCCGCCGCCCCGCCGGAGGTCAGCGGGGCAGGGGGTAAACCCGCAGCTCCCCGATAAGGTCGCCGCTCCGTTTTATTTAAAAGCTGGTTTGCCCCTTTCTGGTGAGTGTCACACCCCGAAGGCAGCGTTCGTGTCCTGGGGATTTGGGTTGACTTGGATGTGAGGCTTGAAGCTTTCATAGAGGAAATAAAAATCGACCTGGGAGTGTTTTTTAAACCCGAAGCAAAAGATAAAGGAATAAGATCCCAAACAGATTTAGGGTAAAACTAGGAAGGATGTTTTTGTAAAAGCGCGGGGAGGGGCGGTTTTGGAGAAGATGAAGTGGCCAGTGCTGAGGTCCCGGCTCATGGCGGAAGCTGTCCGTTTTGAAGTACAGACTTGTCTGAGTATCACTCACATCCACGGTTCACTTTCGAACCACACCCATCAATTTTCTTAATGCAAGAGATTGCAGGATGAGATGTCGAGGGGTAAGCAGTCCCTCCGGAGCGTGGGGTGGGGGGGGGGGGAGTGTGGGGAGACCATAAATCGCAGTGCCAGCCCCCTTTACTGTTTGCTCATTATTCTGGAGTGCTGAGACTGCCGGGGGAGGGAACCCTCCAGAAATTAAAAAGAGAGTTATTGGCCGAAATCACCGTGGCGAATTTCAATTACAACTCTGTGGCTGCTGATTTTCTATTAGAAAGAAAGTGGTTCTCAATTCCATCGCTAATTGTGTGCAAAAAAAAAAAAAGCAATTTGTGATTGCTTCTCAGACAGTCACTTTGGACATTACTTTTATTGCGCCAATAACATGGGCGTCTGGCTCAGTGAACTAGGAAATGTGGCCCTTAGGAAATTATCCACATGTCTGCTGCCCAGTTAAGAATGAGGAACTGTGGGCAGTCACTTGCTTTTGTAAATGTAGATCAGCATTCACGTAGTCACAGAGCTGTGGCCTGAAACTTCCCCATGTTACTTTGGTCCTGAATATTTTGGCAGAAGAGCGAAAGTCGTTCTCACCGATCTGTCCGACAGTCGACACTGAGCTTGGTTTCTACGCCGCCGACGTCACAGAAGTGCATTTCCTGATCAGAAATGATCTTGGTCATTTAACTGAATATTAATGGTGCGGGGGGAGGGCTGGTGGCCTTGCTGTATTAACAGGAATGGAGCCGTTTTGTGTGCTTGGTTGAACGTGACAGTTGTGATATTTAGTCATCACTTCCTTCGGCTGCTGGAGGTCACAAGTGAGATTTGTGGGCCGTAGCAGGCTGGTCAGCTGCGGGGGGTGGGGCGGGGGGGAAGCGTCCAGGGAAGCTGGAACCTCCAAGGCAGAGCACACACTACCTGCTCCCAAACCCATTGTCAACGCCAGTGGGGGGATGTTAGTAAGCACATGCATTGTTGTGTATATCAGGGTTGCAGGTGGAACGTGGAAGACTCGGTGTTCATTAGAATCACGCTCAGAGCTCAATTGTGAGAGAGTCACTCATTACCTTAAGGGAGAGAGTGCTCTGACCACTAGGAGGGCAGGGGAAGGCTCCAGATCACAGTGCAAATAATTAGAATGGACAGCAAAGGAAGAAACAGTGAATGGCCTCGCTCATTGTTTAAAACCCTCCTTATTTGGAGCCACAACCCAGCCACTGTTTGAACACCCGGGATGACAGACTTAGGTGAAGGCTACCCTGCCAATAATTACCTGCATGAACTGCTACCCAAAAGGGTTGCATCAGCAAACCGCCTGCCAACCCAGGAGAGGAGCAGGTAGTGAAAGAAGCCAAGTCATCATTCTTCTCCGCTTGCGGGAGAGGCCATTAGTCTGAGTGAGTGATTTTTTTTTAAACCATCACGCTAATAAGCAGTGGTATGAAGCCGGAAGTTACCTTTCTATAACTTGAGCTCATTACCAACGGGAGATAGGACTGGCCCTTCTTTTTCCCCAGGACATTCCTTTTGGATTTCACAGCGTGGAAGACGGAGCTTCGACATTGATTTGGGTGTCGTAGGCTCTCAATCAATATTTGCTCATTTGCGTGTCAGTGATGAGTGGCGTTGAAGTGTAAAGGACATGCTGTGTGGGGTGGGCTATGCACGTGCTGTCCGACAGGCTTTCTGCAAACCTCCGGGACCCGCTGTTCTTCCCTCCCTTCCTCTCTTTCCTCCTCAAAATGTAACTAGACGCGGCACCATCCAGGTTAAAATGTAATCAGGGGGAGTGTTTCTGCCACTGATCACGGAGAGCGAGCCAGCCAGCGCCAGCTCCATCAGGCATGATGACACCTGTCTGGAATAGTGAAGAGGAGAGAGCAGCACAGGGAGCAAGGGAAAGGCAGTCCTCACAGTTTCGGGCCACGGACCCACCAGCCAGAAGAAGCCTTTTCCTTTCTAAGTGGTGATGGGAGGCAGGGCCTACCTGGAGCGCAGGTAACTGCTGTTCAGGTTGTTACTATCCGGGCCTCCTAGAGGCTGCGCTTCCGATTTCTCCCCTGCCCACAAGCTGCCCGACCGGAAGACATCTGTCCTCTGACATGTCAGAACACGGGCCGCGTGGCCTGGCCTCTCTCCCACCTGTCTTTGGTTGGCTCCTCTGGATTCCTCTGGTCTTGACAGGCAAGGTCCAACCGGGTCATGCCTCACTGGTGTGAAAACTCCAGCAGCTGTGACACAAACATGAGTTTTCTTCTCTCTGCTTTTCTTTCTTGACATCTTCCTCGGGCATCAGGAAAGTTACAGGCTCCTGCAGCGATAGATCCCGCACCTCTCCGGAGGGTGTGCAGACGCCTGTGTTCTTCCCACCGTCGGAAGCTCCTGGCGTTCCCTTTCCTCCTGTCTCCTTGCTGTCACTGAGAGAGCAACCCTGAGTCTCTCTTTGAAAATCACAGCAGGGAGACTGGGCAGCTTTTCAAAAATGACAGTTGTTCAAGGGGAGTACGTTGACCCAAGTTTTCCGGGGGGTGGGGGGGGGGAGAGCTTTGAGAAGATCCAGAAGCTGAGGCGGATCTAGGAGGGAGGAGGGAGAAAGAGCCAAGAGAGAGGGCAGAGCACCAGCTGGAAAGGAGAATTGTCTAATCCAGGCAGTTTTGAAAGGAAAGCTGCTTCCCACCGTGGCATCTGAGGAATGAAAAACGCAAGCTTTTGATTCTCGCCGCCACTTTTTTTAATTTTTTTTTTAATCTCTTTCCTGCTTACCTCACGCTGGCCCCAGACCACAGGGAACATAGATTTACTGGGAGCAGGCAGCTCCACCCACAGAGCGGGTAAAAGTCCGGGTTCTTTCTCATGGGTGGTGGCCAGTGGCCTTCCCCCGGGGTCAGCAGGGCCTGGGACCATCGTCTGATTCTCCGCCTGGGATGCCAGGCCAAGAAAGGAAACGGCCTCTTCAACTTGAGATGGGCCTCGGCCACGTCCTGTGTGCGGTTAGCAGAGCGAGTGGGGATCCGACTTCTGTTTCCCACTTCCCTCAATTAGGCCTTCGCTCGGCTGGTTTGGGGAAAGCTATGATGTGAGTGGTTTCTGGATCCCTGGACCTACAGCCGGAGGGGAGGAAACGTCTTCACTCTTCCGAAAGTCAAAACCTCTGAGCAGATGGTTTCCGAGAGAGCCAGTCCAGACGCCCCTTCCCCGTCCCGCAGCCCGGCTCACGGCCATGATTAGCGCAGCAAAGTCAGGGAGGGTCTCAGCGCTGTCCATCCAAGGAGGAGAGGCACTTCCTGTTTCCAAATGTATCGACATGAAGCCCCTCAGCGGAGAACTGGAGGGTGTTCTTCAGCTGTCCCATTGCTCCCAACCCCTTATACTCTCCTCTCACCCCAACCAAGTTCTCACCAGTCCTGGGAACTCAGCTGGCTATTTCTGTGCTTGCAAATTTCTACTCGAAACATGCTGGGTATGTGCTAAGTACTTTACCCACACTGGCTAACTTAGGCCTCACAACTTCCCTAGAAGTAGGTGGCTGTGGCAGACAGAATTCCAAGGTGGTCCCCTGGATTCTCGGCCCTGAGGCCCTGACGTACACACACCTTCTCCTGAGTTTTCCATCAAATGCCCATCCAGGTGCTCCCATAGGGGCAGCTGATCTTGGCATAGGGAGATTGACCTCGTCGCATGAGCCCTTTAAAAGCAGAGAGTTTTCTCCAGCTGGTTGAAGTTGAGGAAGTCAAAGATTCAGAGCAGGATAAGGATTTGCTGACTTGAAGTTGGAGGGGGCCACATGGCAAGGGAGGTAAGGGATCTTTAGGAGCTAAGATTGGCCCCCAGCTGACAGCCAGCAAGGATGCAGGGACTTCAGTCCTACAACCACAAGGAACCGAATTCGGCCAACAACAGGAATGAGCTTGGGAACAGATCCCTCCCTTCCCCCAGCCTCCTGAGGAGAACTCGGCCTAGCTGACAACTTTGCTTCAGCCGTCAGCCCTGCAGAGCCACAGGAGTGGACTTCTGACCTCCAACGCTACAAGCTTCTAGTGGGTGCTGTTTTGAGCCACTAGGTTTGTGGTAATTTGTTTCACAGCAATCGAAAACAAACAGTACTGCTGTTTACTTCCTTTTATAGAGGAAACCAGGGACCAGGAGG